TGTAATTAGATTACAGTCATGGCCAAAAATATCAGCACCCTTGGTAAATATGATCAAAGGCGGCTGTGAAAATTAATCTGCATTGTTAATCCTTTTGATCTTTTATTTTTTTTAAATCACAAAAATCTAACCTTTCATTGGATAATAAGAATTTAAAATGGGGGGGATTATCATTATGAAATAAATGTTTTTCTCAAATACACGTTGGACACAATTATTGGCACCCCTAGAAATTCTTATGAGTAAAATATCTCTGAAGTATATTCATATTCACAATTTTGAGCACTCCAGGGTGATTATGAACATGAAATTATCAAGCCATGGCTTCCTGTTTCACAGAAATATTAATAGGAGGGAAAACAAAGCCCAAATTCCCTTAATCATCCATCAGAAAAACCAAAGAATGTATTTCTGATGTGCAGCAAAAAATAATTGAGCTTCACAAATTAGTGAAGTGGCTTTAAGAAAAAAGCTAGAGCAGTGAAAATTCCCATTTCCACCATCAGGGCAATAATTAAGAATTTCCAATCAACATAAAATGTTATGAAACTGCCTGGAAGAGGACGTGTGTCTATATCGTCCTAATGCACGGTGAGAAGGAGAGTTTGAGTGGCTAAAGACTCTCCAAGGACCACCGCTGGAGAATTGCAGAAAATAGTTGAGTCTTGGGGTCAGAAAACCTTAAAAGAAAATTGTCAAACAGCACCTACATCACCACATGTTGTTTCAAGAAAAATTCTCCTAGCTCATCCAAAAACAAACTCCAGCATATTCAGTTATCAGACACGACTGGAACTTCAAATGGGACTGGCTTCTATTGTGTTAATTGTGTCCAATGTGTCTTAGAGAAAAACATTTATTTCATAATGATATTTCCCCCCATTTTAAATTCTTATTATCCAATGAAAGGTTAGATTTTTGTGAATTTTTTAAATAAAAGATCAAAAGGATTAACAATGCAGATTAATTTTCACAGCCTTCTTTGTTCATATTTACCAAGGGTGCCGATATTTTTGGCCATGACTGTATATTATGTTCCAAAATCCTCATAATCAGATTACGGTTACTTTTTTAGTGATTACATATTATTCACATATTATGTTTTAATTTGTTGATTCTCTTTCTGACTTCTCTTTTAGAATTTCCTTTCACTATCTTTCCTTTAATGTTTGAACCAGATTCTAATTTTAACATTTATTGTTAGCAACAGCGGTCTGTTTTTTTTTTTCTTCTAATTATTTATTGATTTTGTATTATTATTATAAATTTTTAATGATAAGTAAATGTTATATAAACAACCGTTTTATCTATAAAAGAGTTTCAGTAAATGTTTCTTTCCCCTGCTTGCATAGGTTCGCAAATACTTCTAGTTTTGCAGAATCACACACACAAACCAAGCCCCCGTCAGGTGACTACAGTTACACAGAAAATGGAGAGAACACACAGCATTCTGAGTACTGGATTTAAAGAAAGCATTTGACTTTTAATGAGACATATGGCAACATTAATTGTACAGTATAAAGTGCAATGTAAACAGTTCCTATTGATTGCAAAGGATTATGTCAAATCTAAAAATAACCATTTGATTCAGAAATGATTCATAACTGGTCTGATGTTACTACACACAAATGGCAAAATTTCCTCATCATAATTCTATAAACTCTCACATAATGAAAACATATGGGCTTAGACATTCATCCACATCATTAGGGAAATCTCCCTTATATGTTATATATAATTTGTGATCCATGCTTCTGAAATTTGGGACAAAAGCAGCACTCAATTAGACCATGTATAAAAAAAATTAAGCAAACACTGCTATGTATAGCTGTGAGATACTATGTCTTCATTTTATCCAGTGACCTTCACTGATGATTGATTCTGAAAGTCTAGAGAGAGAGAGAGAGAAAAAGTCTAGACCTGCAGACACAGGATTCCCAAACTTTTTTGTCACCTGAACCCCTTTTGAAAATATTTATGTGAAGGCCTTGTAAGATTTTAGGCTAATACTTCAATTATTTATGCACATTCACGACTCTCTGATGTCGGTTTATGGTCACATCAACTCGCAGGTAAAGAAATAAAAGAGTTGATCTTTTTTAGTGTTCAAATGTTTCATTTATATTGTTTTTATTTAAAAAGTATTTAACTTAATTAAATTTTTATGATTTAATCAGCTTTTCACTAATTAGCTTTAAGCTAATTGAATTAGCTTTTTTAGTTGTTTCACTTTTTCAACTTTAGTGAGTCTGTAATGTTGCTGTTTGAGCATAAAAAAGATCTGCAAAGTTACAAAGCTCAAAGTCCACTTCAAACGGAGATATTATATATAACTGAAATCACTTTTCAAAAACTACAACAAATGACTCGTTTGGACTACAATGCATATTTTCCGGGATTTGTGATATCACAAATATCGACGAATGGGAGGAGACCTGGTTGAGCTGCACTAGAGAAGGCCACGAGTGTTTATCACCATGTCGGAGACACGCTAGCTTTCCCAAGGCAGACGAACTTAGAGTGGTTACAATCATTCGGGTTTAAATCGCGCTCAAATTGATTTGATTTTGACGCAATATTTACATTGAAGCTCGCAGGCGGCTATGGTAAAGGACGTGACATTTCCCGACCAGGCGCCGAGTGGAGCCAATCACAACACACACTGGCCCAGCTAACCAATCACAGCACATTTCGTATTTCAGAAGGCGGGCCTTCATTTGATACAGGAACTATTCGAGCCGTTCATGCCAGACTGGGGAGAGAGGTGTTGTAATAATGTAAAATATGTGAAAAATAATGTTTATGAGTATGAGACTTTGTAAAAGAGCATAATAGGACCCCTTTAATATTTTTTTATAACAAAGAATGGAATATATTTTATTTGTATTTTCATACAGTATTCACTTTTTATTTCATCTGGTGTCTTAGTGATTTTCAGTAAATGTGTGTAGTCAATTCTCCTCAAGTTCACAGGGTGTAGTTCATTACATTAACTACGAACATTTTCCGCTAACATTTGACAACCAGAAAGTGTCCAGATACTCTTTGTCTATAAAGAGATGTAGTGGTAACCTTATGATTATAAGCTAATGGCTGCTAATACAAGTTACCGATTCAAAACTAAGAACAAATGACCTAGAAATGTAAGTTACAGTGCTTCTCAATTATATCGGTATTATGTGCATAAAAGTTGCCTGAGGGGACCGTAATTACTGACTGTAAGTTGCTTAGGAAGAAAATTGTGAGTAATCATGATTCACATTACTTTTAGAGAGTTTAACCAAGAGATTCCAGCTGCTCCCAAATGTCAAAACCCAATCACACTTTTGTCCTAACATTACAAAATAACACACTGAGAAACCCCAGCAAACGTCTTGCCTATATATACATATATATGAGCAATATCACTCGAGTACGAGAGCGATACCGGCTCTATATCAGCATGGCTGTGATTAGGCCAGAGGCACGAGGTCGCAGGCAATCACAGCCTCTGATATAGTCGGTATCGCTCGAATACGAGTGATATTGCGTTTATACAACAGTTCGACGGAACGTGTGTAATTAAACAAGAAACAATGGAGTGCCTAGTAAAACCCTCTTTTGTGCAGAACTACTTCCTTCCGCCACGGATTCAAAGCTCAAGTTGACAGTTAAACATACGTCACTTTTAGAATTTGTATCAAGGGCATGTGCTGCTTCAGTTAGGTTATTAGTGAGAAATAATGAGGTTATAAGAGAAACAATGCGGCAAGACATGCATCCAAATGAGAGAGAGAGAGAAACCGCAAAGCTAGACGTTTCTTCTTATATTAACTAACGTACTCTACGATTAGCTCAGTGAATAATAATAAAAAAAAAACATAGACCCGGCTAGAACAAGCGGAGTGATACAAAATTGTGAAAGGGCGTTCCTGTAGCGATACCAGTACAATATCTCACGGGTCTCAACCAATCAGATTTGAGAACCAGATCGAACTGTTGTATAAATATATATAAAGTAAATTTAAGTTAATGTAAATTTAGTCGAAAAACTGTATTAAACTAAATTTGTTGAACATTTGCTACGGAATAAACGAGGAATTAAAAAATGTCTTAAATATTTTTTACACCCAAACCGCATTTAAAGTTACAGTACGTTGCGAAATTAATGTCTGCATTAGTTTACTATACTATCATAACCAGAGATGGGCATAAATACATGAAAATTTAATTTAATTGTAAATTTAAATACAAAATACTGTGTGGAAAAATGTGCTTAAATGCAAATTACATTCGATTTTTTATTCCCAAAGGCTTTAAAATACAAAAAAAGTAGTTTGTATTTCAAATACGTATTTTAAATACATGTTTCTGAAATACTGCCCATCCCTGGTCATAACAGTCTGTATTTAAACACCCGTCATTATCATTTCAGCTCCAAAGACTTTTAGTATAATAAAAATGCAAACAAACGAAAACCACCCACAATAAATAATTTTTTTAGTAACTTGCTACTACTTTAGTAACACATGCTTACCAATTGTGTTTGAATGATCTCCTTCTTAAGTTAATAATTTCATATCAAGTTTTAACTAAGAACTAAAAAAACAAACACTCGAGTCTACAAATGAGAATGTTTTTTATTTGTCTATAATCTGCAATTGTATTTTTATTTGTGTCAAATCACTCAAAGTGAAATTGGTTTCAAAGGAACAGCTCACTCAAAAATGTAAGTTTGCTGAAAATACTCACCCTCAGGCAATCAGAGATGCAGATGAATTAGTTTCTTCTTCGTAACAGATTTGGAGAAATTGAGCTTTTTTAATGTGCGAAGACAACAGGGGATGGATCTTTTCCCTGGAGGAAGAGTTGTTATCCAGAAGCGACAGTTTAAAGTAAAAAAATGACTTAATGATAGACTTGTTTATTACAAACATGCAGCTTTTCATTTCACAAGACATTAATTGATGGATTGGACTCCAAGAAAGTACATTTCTCCAAATCTGTTTCGAATCGGTCTCTACATCTTGAATGGCCTGAAGGGGAGTAAATTTACATTTTTGGGGTAAACTATTCCTTTAAAGGTGTAATCCGAGACTCAACAGGAAATTCTTTGATACTTTGAAATATATTTTAATATACACATTTTTTATAAAATCTAAAAGGCAGTTTCGACCTCAGACAGTCATGCCATATGGCTTCATCAACAGATGAACACGTCTGTATTTTCACTTTCACTGTGGTAATTTGCTGAGCGGAAGGGAGAAATCTTTGCTGTCCGATTCTTTCATCTCCTCAAAGTTCCTCACTACATCCTCGAGGAAATTCACCACAGTCTTCAGATCCTCACTGCTGTCCAACACGGCCTCTTCCAGCTGTCCCTTCAGCCTGGTCAGTGTCTCGTTGAGCGCCATCAAACCATCTTCAGGCAACGCATGATCCCCAGCCTCCTCCCCTGCAGCACCATCAACCCCAGCAGCCAAAGTCACGCCCTTATTGCTAAGGTAGCTAACCAGGAAGCCCTGTAGTACTGGCCTGGATTGGTCACTCAGTGATGACCTCAGCACTGGAAGGTCATCAGGCTGGCATAAGGACAGAAGGTGCAGGAGAGCATGGCAGAGCTGTGAGCGTAAGCTAGCACAGTAACGATATTCAAGGAAGTCCTCCATTTCTTCGCTGTGCTCAAGGGCCTGAGCCAAAGCTCGCCACACTTCGGCGAATTGTTGAGCGTCACCATAGCGATCTCGCGTTGATGGAACAGAAAGTGCAGCAGCAGATTTGATGCGTACTTTGAAGTTCTTGCAGGATGTGACGACGTAGGACAGGGCAGAGTAGGCTTCCTTGGACCAGACGGCAGAACCTGCAAGTGAAATGGTGTGTTTTAAGCGGTTCACGCCATGGATTACCGTAATTACGACATCCCAACTTTTAAAAAGCATTCACGTCTTTGTAGAACTCGTAATTACAACTTGTAAACTCTGAATTTTCTAAATGCTTTGACTTTGTTTAACCACTGTTTGAATTTAAGTTATGAGCGAAACTGGAATAATCGCATAAAAAATTTGTTATGCAAAGTCACATGACTTTTTTTTTTTTTTTATATGCATCAAGGAATTTATTCCTTTGTAGTTTATGCACGTTTTCTTATCAGATAAAAAAAAATGATCTGATTGAGTGATTTATCCAGTTGAGTGCATGAGTTTTTTTATGCACATTTTTAGAATGTATGCGCTTCTTGGCATTTCAATTTTTTTGTACGATATCCCAAAATGCGCATAAAAATAGGTGGATGAAAACATAGCTACTAACATGCTTAATTATGGTAATTATGACATGTCGTGAACGCAGTCTTAGCTCAATGTTATGTGGTTATGTACTTTGTTAAATAATAAACCCACCCTTAAAACTCTAGAAGGGGACAAACAAGGGCTAAAATAAACTTTAGTTTTGACAAAAATGCTTAATGCATAAATACAGCCAAATACAAAGTTTACTCTATTTGACAGCGTGCATGAACACAGGCATTCGACATGTGCACTGGAAACGATGGAAACGAACATGTAAAGATGCACCCCAAGGCTGTTGAAAATTAATAAAAATATGTGATTATTCACGTCGGTTGAGATGTTACATGAATCAATGAATCGCGATACATTAGGGGGTGGGGGTTTATATGAATGTATCTTTGAGGGGAACTGACTGTCTTCAGAAAAGTGTACACTCTAAAAAATGCTGGGTTAAATACAACCCAGTGCTGGTGTAAGTGCAGCTGCTTTGTTTACAGCTGTAACCAAGGAAACGCTGTATTGCCGCTGTTCCATAAGCGCCACCTGCTGTCGGACAGTGAATTTACGTTCTTGCGTTTAAAATGATCAAATCTAATTTAAATCAAAAAACTTCTCATGCTGTATGTATGCAGCATCTTTGTTTGGATTGTGATTAAAATGCAGTGTTTGCCTCTAATTTTCAATGGAAAGAGCACAGGCAACACCTTAGTTTGTTTATATGAAGATATTTATTTTATTTATATTATTTATTTGATTTGGGATTTGTTTTGAAATTAAAATTTTTGTTATTTGACATACCGTATTGGCCCGAATATAAGACGACCCTGATTATAAGACGACCCCCCTTTTTCCAGATGTACCTTTATTCGGCTCAAAACGGTATTTCAAGGAAATGTGCAGCATTTTGTATGAGAAATAGAAAATGACACATTTTCATAACTTTTATAACTTGCCTTAAATCTCATTTTGTAAAAAAAAAAAAAAATCGTGAGAAAATCGTATCGTGAATCATATCGCATCGTGAGTTGAGCAAATTGTTGCATCCCTACTAGAAACTTTGCCCAGTGTCTGCGCTATTTCTCTCAAGGAATTATGAATGCGTGTATTTCTTAAACCCCCCCCCCACAAAAGTGTTCAACACAGATCTCCAGTAGTTTGTTTTTGTTGTTGTTCTATCTCTTGCGTTTCTTTTTTGACTCTGAAACAACAGCCTGGGTCAGTGTTGCCACCTTGTGGATGAAATAATTGCAAAATAATTCAATGTGCTTGAAAACCAGGCTGAGCACATACTATGCTGTGTACACCCTAGTGTACACACACACAAAAAAAAGGAAACTTTCACCATGATAAAGAAATGTTTTCCAATCTAGTTTTAAATGATTTGAAAAACTTTTATACCACTTTAAACTTTTACTATATTTTTTTAAATATCATGTGGTGTAACCATCAAGTAAAACGTAATAACTCATTTTCCTTACACTCAGAATATACACAAAATACATGTGAAAGTGTAAATATTTTTCAATATGAAAATATTTTTTTATAAATATAATAAATAATATCATTGTTTTTAGACTCTGACTTTGTTTAGGGGACAAATGTTTTTCAAATATTCATAAGCAGAAAAGCAGTTGTGTTAAATTATTATTTAAAAAAAAAAAAACTAACAAAACATCGCTTTTTTTTTTAAAGATTTGAATTGTTTTAATGTTATTTTCAAGAACTGTTAATTTGTCTTCATTGAGATAGGACAGCTGCATCACCCTGATTTTTAATGTAATTTTTAATTCAATAAATCTAATAAATATAAAGTTCACTCACCCAGAGGCAGGCTGTGATTTCTGAAGGCATTGCCCAGTGCATAGCAGGCGTTCCAGCGCACTTTCATGGTTGCATCTCCTCTAACTGTATCTATCAGTGCCCTCATGGCCTCCTGCAGGGGCTGCTCAAACACAGGCTTTCCCAGGTGCACCGGCTGCAGGAAGTGAAGCAGATTCCCAAGCGCACGGACAGCATTGCTCTTTACCTGCAACACGGGAAACCCTTATCAAACTTGGAGTTCATTATCAAGAACTTAATTTGGACAACTTTAAAGGCCATTTTCTCAGTATTTTAATTTTTTTGCACCCTCAGATTCCAGATTTTCAAATAGTTGCATCTCGGCCAAATATTGTCATATCTTAACAAACCATACATTCAGTTTTCAGATGATGTATAAATTTCAATTTCGAAAAACTGACCCTTATGACTGGTTTTGTGGTCCAGGGTCACATTTAATAAAGACAGTTATAATGTCCAAAAAAATCTCATATAAATGCTGTTCATTTCAACTTTTTATTTATCAATAATTGAAAACATTTTTTTTTATCAAGTTTCCGAGCGGTAATGATAATAAAAAAATGTAAGTAACAGTATAATTTCATCAATAACATTAAATATGACTTTGTTTACTGGTAACATTTTGGCTTTGATGGGTGATGTGTTTTGGGATCTTATCTGCCCTTATAAAACATATTTTTTAACCCCTTAGCATTCCTGTAAAATTTGGTGCTCTGACAAAGACACTGATTGTACCTGCTGTGTTGATTGTATCTTAAAATGACAAGAATCTCAGCTTTCCAAAGATATGTGACATGTTTAGCTATATATTTTTTTGTTGTATGAGTTGTTGTATGTCATGAAGTTAACCCTCAAAAACACACAGTGTACAACGGGTGGTACAGTGGAATGCTGGTATGTAACAGGAATTCCTAGCCCGAAATATCAAATGTTTGCATAATTTAGCAAAGTAGCACAAAGTTTCAAGGTGGAATACATTTTATTTAGCAGCTTCAGAAATCTTTTGAAGATGCCGTGAACACATCATGTAAAAGGCTTCTGGCATCAATAACAAAAAAAGAAATACCCACCCTGTCTTTATCTCCTGAAGCTTTAGTGGCAGATCTCAGCATGTTCAGAAGCAGCATATCAGAGAACTCCTCCTGAAACTCCAACCCCACTGACTGCCTGAGGACAACAAATGAGCAAAGGAAAACCATCTGTATAACTACATTAATGTAATTAAACACAGATGTGGTCAATTGTCTTTCTCACATGTTGACAATGAGTGTGTCGGTGAGGTTGCCAAGCGACCAGGCTGCCTTTGCACGAACGTTGGGTGAGCGGTCATCCAGAGCAGTGAGGATGGCATTAGCCGTGTCTGCCACAAACATCACATCCTGTGGTCGTAAAAAAAAAAGCAAAATTAGTCAAGTTAAATCAGTGCGGAGTACTTTTCTAGGTGGATGAAGGTGGACTTACTACGTTATATATATTAAATATACAACTAAATAAAAGTAAAATATATTCTAAATATTTATAACATTCTTTAGAAATTAAAAGTGAAGCTCTTTCACTATATGAGAAGGCTGATCTGTACCTCTCTTACACAGCACTTGCGTCTTATCCTGCAGATAGTGATAAATATATATATATATATATATATACAGTATATACAAATCACAAAGAATATCATGTGGAAACTCAAGAGGTCAAACACACTCACGGGCAGCTGGCTGAAAGCTTGTGGTAGGATGGAGGAGAGGGTGTCACATGCGCTGGTCTGTAGGGTGGGATGCTGCTCGTTCTGTAAGGCACTGATCAGTGGAGCACCCAAGACGTCTGACCAGAACTCAACCACCTGAAAAGGGCAAAAGACCAGCATTACATCAATATCATGATCTTTGAATTTAGTTTTGTGCCACGTCACATGCAGCATTTTTTACCTGACACACTGGCACACATTTGGCACTTTGTGGAGGGGTGTTGGCATCAGATCTGTACTGCTGGATAATGCCTGTTCCCAGTTCTTCCAGAAGCTTGCAAAATACACAGAAATTGTAAAACAGAACAACAACAACAAAAAACAAACACATGAAACAAACATTAACAGTTAAAAAAAAATTACAGGACAGGTGCTTGCCCATTTTTTGTCTTATTACATGATGTGCCAAATTAATTGGACATCAATTTTGGCTATAGAAATAAATATTTTGATTTAACATTGCATAAATAACAATAAAAATATTTTTTTTGTTTGAAACATTGAATACTGAAATATAAAATTGTTATTATAAAAAACGAAATGATACTCCAAATATGAAGCAAAAACCATCAGAAGATGGCAGCAAGTAACTATCTTGATGAGGGAGTCATTTAGTCATTCATTCAACCGATTCATAATGGTCAAGTCAATCAGAAACCAATCTTTATGAATTGGTCATTGGCTCACAAGACTTACAATCTGAGGTATCCTTCATACAGCATAAAGAGTGCAGGATAAGTTGCTTGCTTAAGTTTAAGACTAAATGCCTGTTCACACCAAGAGAAATCTTCGATGCAATAAACATTTTAATTTGAATGAACGGCTGTTAGATTGTCTGCTCAGATCTACAAACATTTGAATTACTGCTTTTCCATAAGCACCACCTGCTGTCTGAGAGAGAATTTGCTTCTTTTTTTTTTCAGCCCATCTGCAGATTTTAATCCACTGGTCTGAAAGACATTGCATGGAAAACCTGAATTTTCATTGTGAACATGCCTTAAAGGGTCATGAAACCCCCCGTTTCAGCACTGGTTAGTTCTCACCACAGTTTAAAAAAAATGCTAAAAAAAGTGGGTGTGATGCGCAGCGGAGCGGAGGGGGGGGAAGAGGGGAGACAGACAACACACACAGCTTCGCATTTAGTTTCATTTTGCTCCCATCGAGTTAAAAACACAAATAAATGCACAGCCATTTGCACTGTGCATCGAAAACATATATATGAACACTCTGTTGCACCTCTGAGAACTTTTAAGGCTTATTCTGTGGTGTTTATATAAGCCTTTCAACGGGTTGTGTCACAGAGCTGTAAAAACGGTTATGCTCACCAAGTGAAAGAATCGCGTTTGTACCGAACTCTTATTACAAAGCAAAAACAAACACACTTCTTCGATCCATGAACGTTTCTCTCAGTTAATGTGCACGATGTCATCTCACAGTCTGAAACGTCTGTCACAGCAAATCAACACATGCTGTTGTGAATAATTAAGCGAAGCGTCTTCTCATAGGATAAGAACACGCAGTCTCATGAATAATTTAATAGACACCGAAGCGTCACCGATGTACTATAGTCCATTGCCACGTCACAAATTGTGACGTCAACACAATGTAGATTTTAAACCCGGAAGATAAAAATAGCGAAAAAAGCTTAAAATTAACCAGTTTTCTCCAACAGTTAAAATTATCGGATGCTAACATTGTCTTCCATGATGTGCAACACAAACACCTCTGCTAAAATCTCAGAAAAAGTAGTCTGGGGTTTCATGACCCTTTAAAGTTTAGTGATTTGAACAAAATCCCACGTTTGCCATAGCATGCACCAATAAGACAGGAAATGACAAAGACATAAAGATCCAATACTTTAGTGCCATGAAGTTGCACAGAAGGGTCTTGCTCTTTGAGACAGCGAGCACTGAGTTGCCCCAACTCCAACAAAGAAGTCTGAGCCAGTGAGAAGTAACCCTTCATCAGATGAGCCAAAACCTGAAAAAAACCACATACAAACCATTTAAGACAAACATTTCATGATGCGCAAATACTGTGGCTGCCTCTTCACAAACAGACCACTCACCTGCAGGGCTTCAAGTCGGATGGGTGAGGGTTCCAGCGATGCTCCACTAGACCCTCCGGCGTCACTATCCGAGTACGGTTCCTCGCGAGGCTGAGTGACCAGGCTCACACACAGCTGCAACAGCCAGCACGGCACCTCCGGACCCCCCTCAACTCCTCCAGGAGACGAGGCTTCACCGTCTCTCCGAGCGGGAAGTCTCCAGTTGTGAGAGAGCTCCTGTGGGGTGCTGATGCCGGGGGTGCTGAGGGCAGATGTGGATCCGGGCTGCTGGAGAAGGAGCTGGATCTCTGGGAGGGGGGCTTGTGTTGAGACTAATGCACCGAAGAGGGTGAGACTGGACACACGGACGTTCACATCTACCATGGGAGGAAGAGACAGAATGGTGAATGCTCGAATTGGCTGAATTTTTTGTCATTTGTTTTAGACCATGTATTCAACATCTGGACAGTTTTAATAGTACAACTTGTAATAGTACCTCTGTGGCGCACATATGGACGGATTTGTTTCCACAGTGGGCTCAACAGGCCCGGTCTGAGACGATTATAGGGCACGTTGGACACCAGGTGGGCAAGGCACTGAAAGACAAAACACAAATGGTGGTGTTCACAAACTCATTGGACCAGATTTACTAACAGCTTGCACCGGAGCAAACCCTCTTTTGGTATTAAAAAAAACTACTGTCAGGATTTACTAAAAGCACTCAGTGAAAAATTTGCGCTGAAAAGGTGTGGACAGCTGACCTTATTGCAAATGCATTTGTAGGAGTTTCCCTTTCAGACGCAAATTTATGGGAGGATAGTATTTAAATGAATCATGCAACATGATTTACTAAAGTTTGCGGTAGTGAATTTGTGCCAATTTGTAATTACAAAATTGCTTAAGTTAGTTCTGAGAAAAGGTCTAGCGTTATTCTGAGGCCACTACATGTTTTATAAATTATAATAGAAATGATGGTATTATTAATAGTATTTATTTTGAATTTGCTTTTATTGTTAAGATTGGTTTTAATTTTAGTTTAACTGTTAGTAATATTTTGATCTTTTGTCATTTTTGCTTTTGCTTATAATTTAGCATCATGGCTATATTCATGACAAGAAACAAGTTAAAAATAGGAAAAGTAAATAAAAAATATATAAACAACATTTACAAAATAGTTTTTTAAAGTTGATCTTTTATATAAAAAAAATAATAATAATAATTCTAAAACTAAATCTGGCCTCACTTCATTAAAAATCAAAGTCCAACAAAACATGCTTCAGAGATATTGGACTATGACATAAGAGGCATATGAGAGGGTGTTTGTATTTGTTTTTCAGAAATGTTTCTATGCTGAAATGTTTTTGAATTTTTGTTGTAGTTTTAGTAGCTTCGAGTTATCACCTAAACCAAGGCAATATTTCCAATATTTTTAGGTTAGGTTATTCATCTAATATTTATATTTGATCTTTATTTCAGTCACCAAAAATGATTTCTAATAGTTATAGTAAATAATAAGAACACTGGCGTGAGTGTGTGGTCTATTACCTTTAAGACCTGTGTGAGGGTTTGACAGGATGACTCTGCTACGAGTGCTAGCAGCAAGCAGCGGTGCAGCTCTCTGACACTGGCAGCTAATGTGGCCGAAAAGGGAGTGAAGGCCTGGCGGGGTGCACTGGTGTCTTCAGCGGTGGAGAGGAACTGGCGAGAACCTTCTAGAAGAGCAGACAGAACCTGCAGAGAGCCTGCCCGTACCTAGGAGCAAATGTGGTATGTAAAATGTCAAATAGGCCATATTTATCTCATGTCAGAAACTAAATGGCCAACAGTGGACTTGTGTTTTACCTTTGGGGAGGGGTCCTTTAGAGCAATGGTCAGGAGGGTAAGAGGAGGAGGGCCTCCAATCCCAGGAGCATCTGGAACAAAGGAAGACCAGTAGCCATAGAGGATTCGTTTCTCAACACACTTGACCACAGCCAGGAAGCACTGAAGCGCACTCTGCCGCACACGTGCTTGATACAGCCTAGACGAGACAGTAGACAAAACAAACACATTTATATTTAAAGCCATGACAACAAAGTGCAATCATGTCTCATTAGAAAAACAGAAAACTAGATTAGCTAATTAACTTCTTATGCAACAGCCAGAAAAAGTTACAGAAATGTAGCATTTTAAACTAGATAATAACAAATAACAACCAATCAACAATAGTTATTGTCATTATTATTATTGCACAATATCGCATAATGACACAAAATATTCCAAATTAATAGGTTTATTGTTGTAATATAATTATTACTACTTCTGATTACTATTAAAGCTGTGCAAGAGAAATACAGCAATAGTTATTGGACACTTAAAGCTTGCAAAAAACCCTAATATTTATGATAACAACAATAGTTAATATTAATAATACTGATGATCTATTAATTACTAAACATTAACATATGCATTAATTAAATTACAATTCGAAATTAAATTATAATTTATTGTACAAAATACAACAGCATAACCATACAAAATATTCATAAGGCACAGGTTTTGTTGTTCTAATATAATTACTATTTATCATATAACTACAATTGCAGTTGTGTCAGAGCAGAAACAGTATCAGTCAGTACTGAACACTTGTGCAAAAAGTGTTCCAGATAGTTCACAATTATATTATAATTAATATTAAATATTCATTAAAACATGCATTGTTAAGTAAATTGCTTATTATAATAATAATAATAATAATGCATGTGTTTTTATTGTTGTAGTAAAATTATTATTTAGTTAATCATCAGCAGAAATTAAACGAGTAAGCAAATAAGATCAGCATTTCTGTTAGTGGACACTTGAACATACAAATATTAGTCATAAAAAAAATGTAATCTCTACATAACATGTAAAAATACATCTATGCATATATATAGAGCTTTTTTATATAGAGATTTTTTCTGGGTCATTTACCACCTGTCAATGTTTTGTTTGACCTAATAATGTAAGAAAGCTTTCCTGGCATTAATAGTCTGAGAGTCAAACCTAAGTTTAGATTGCATTCCTCCCTCAGGGTCAGAGAATTCAGAGTCAGAGCTCCCTTTCTTCCAGGAAGGGTAGAGTTGTGGAGTCACTCCTGACGGGGACGTCACACTAGCGGACTGCGAGCCAAGAGACCAAGCACTCTGAACCACTCCAGCTCCCCCAGTTTTATGATGCCCCGAGATGTGGTCACCCTCTCCCTCCTCTCCATCATTCTTTCCCTCAGCTCCAGCTTTCTTCCCTTTCCCACGAGACTTGCGCTTCTTGTTCTGTTGGGACTAAAGCAGAATTATGAGGTTTTTCTTCCACTGGAGATAATACAATTATAGCCTTGATTTTACAACATCCTTTATACTTGTATTTCTAACACATGTGCACTTATATGAAACGTTTTGGCCACCTACTCCAGCCGTTTTTTTCTGTGCAGTGGAGTCTTGTGAAGGTTCAGGTTTTGCAGCGGGAATAGTCTCATACTGAGGGAGAGGAGCTGGGTACAACACCTGTGGCATTTCCACACTTATTCCCGGCAGCCCGTAGAACATGAATCTCTGCCAAGGACACAGTGAGACAATTATCAACTATCATAATGCAATTAGCTCCCCTCCACTTATCAACTCAGCTTCATTTTTGAACTGTATAACCAATCTGTAAATCTACAGCTATAAAAGCGAGAACAGAACAGTGTGGATACTTTGAGCACAGCCAATAAGGTGCCCAGATCCTGGTTCGGAACGGCTTTCCATTTTCCACCATTGCAAAAATACTGCATTCCCTTCAGAGCACTCTGCAATAACTGAAACACAAGCCATGAGAAACTTTTACAGTACATAACCAAAAGACAATGTGAATAACCAACAGTTTGACAGTACTTCAGTAATCTTAATTAAAAGGAACAGTACACCCAAAAATGAAAATTTGCTGAAAATGCAGTGAATGGGTGCCGTCAGAATGAGAGTCCAAACAGCTGACAAAAACATCACAAGTAATCCACATGACCCCAATTCACTTCACTTTCGCTTCACAAGACATTTAACAGATGGACTGAAGTCATGTTGATTACTTCTGGATTATTGTGACGTTTTTAATCAGCTGTTCGGACCCATTCATTACAGAGGATCCATTGGTGAGCAAGTGATGCAATGCTACATTTCTCAAAATCTGTTCTGATGAAGAAACAAGCTCATCTACACGTTGGATGGCCTGAGGTTGGATACATTTTTAGGTGAACGATTACTTTAAGGTGCGGTCACATTTAGCGTTGCTATGAGAAAACTCATGGGTCAGTTCAATAGGAATCTGTGCGATTGGGAGTTTCACATGAGGGCGAAAAAGTTCCACACGCAAATTTCACTCAAGTTTAAGTTGGTCATGCAAATTCACGCTGAGCAACAGAAAGTTACTTGGTTTGAAAACTGGGCTTTATACATTGCCACACTCATGACAACAGAAATTGGACATCGCCAAACTTTCGTTAACGTGACCTCACCTTGACTTATAGTAGCATCGGTAGATAAACATGCAGTACTGACTGTACAGAAGACAATGTCCTCCACATCAGGTGGTTTGGGGGACTGTAGTGTCCGCAGGAGGATTCCATAGCATACACCTTTATATGGCTCCTCTAAATACGGCTGACCAGCAACACTAATACACAAAAAAAAAACTGACATTTAACTCTAAATTGCCATTCTCATCAAGGACGATAACATTTGAATTATCCTTCTAATTCTATAATAGATAAGTCCACAAAAAGATTGTAACAATAATGACACAGAGGAAAAATATAATTGGAATCACTTTTTTTTCCCTGTGTGCGCTTTTAATAAACGGAACGTTATAGCCCTGTGAAGTGGCCCAGCACTAATACGGTTATATTTATAGTTATCTTTTTTTATATGAACGGGCCGTAACGCTGCTAAATAGTTTCTTTGCTTTTATAAATTTGATCAATAGTCAAATCTTCTAGCTAGCTGAAAACAATTAAAATGTACGGATGCTGGAAATATTTGGTACCACATCAGTGTGCTACAAGATACACGATAAATAAAAACAATAAGTGTTCTAAAATCGCCTCAAAATATCAAACATATTTTGATTTCCTCAGACTGGAGAAAATCATAATCTAGAGGTAAAAAAAAAAATGATGCCCATCATACATTATGACATTTTCTGTGAAATCTGTTAAATCCGACTGTCCAAAATCTGCAGACTGACTCTGGCTTTCAGCTTTCTTGACTGCAAATTGGGGCATAGATCTGGGCAAAAGTTGCATAGTGTATTTCAGCCTTCAGTTAAACTTCTACATTTTAAATAGATATTAAACAGCAGCCAGTTATGAAGACTTGATTGCACATGGCTCACCTGAGACATAGATTAGCTAAGCAATGCACAGCAGAACGACGTATCTCTATGTCAGGCTGGCTGGGGTCACCGTAGTTTACCAGAATACCGCTCAGTCCAAGGAGCTCTGGAAGATGCTGGCCAGGATTCAAAATTAAGAGGATTAGATTATAAAGAGTACAAAAAAGTGGGAGTTGCCAGATCTGTGATTCTTACTCTGTGACACCTGGATCCATTGCCATACACTAGTGATGAGAGGGCAAGCAACACTTCCGGGTGAGTCCATGAACTGCATGTGCGCAGAGCATGTGTGCAGTATGATACCAAAACATCAAGCGTATGCTCATCCACTATTACCTGTAAGTAGTAACAAAAACTATTTAAAAAATGATGCCTCTTGATAAGATGCCATATGTATATTCAATACATGGCCACACTGTAAGTACCTGTAGCTGGTTTAGAAGTTGATGAATCAGTTGGCTCAGTTTGATGATAAGATGCTCTTGGCTGAGAGGAACCAGACAGCTTGCATGCATAAGCATCTCACACACAACCTATGAAAGACGACAGGTGGTCATTTAAAATCCCATATTAGATGACCACTACCACTGAATTATGCCCGCTCACAGACATAGGTTCTGCCTTTTTGAGATTACTGGAAATTGTACAAATGGCTACATTTTCTGTACATGTTAATTTATTATTATTAGTTTATACTTATATTTTAACTAATTGGTGCATATATACGTGTACACGTTACATGATGTATACAGTTATTAAGTTGATTTTTTTTACGTTTTTAAAAGAAGTCTCTTACGTTAACCAAGGCTGCAATACTTTATTTGATCAAAAATTCAGTAATACAGTAAAAACAAAACATGTCTTAATAATATCAAGATTGAAATCAGTTTTTGCTGCTTAATATTTTTTGGAAACCATAATACACGACCGTTCAAAACTTTTATGTAAGATTTAAAAACAACAACAACAACTTTTATTTAGTAAGGACACGTTAAATTAATCCAAAGTGGCAGTAAAGATGTTTATAATGTTACAAAAGACTTCTCTTATAAATAAGAGCTGTTCATGTAACTTCCTATCCATCAAAGAATCCTGAAAATAAAATGAATCCACAAAAATATTAAGCAGCAAAAACTATTTTCAGCAACGATAAAAATAAGAACCATTATTAAAAATTGAGCACCAAATCAGCATATTAGAATGATTTCTAAAAGATCATGTGGCAGTGAAGACTGGAGTAATGATGCTGAAAATTCAAACAAGTTATATTTTAAATTGTCATAATTATTTCACAACATTACTGTACTTTTGAAGAAAAAAAAATGCAGCCTCAGTGACCCTAAGATACCTCTTTCAAAAACAATGAAACAGTGTAATAATGCTCAGCTTTTGACAGGTAGTGTACATGTATGCATTTGAGATTTCTTAGATCAGTCTTAACATTTAATTGATTTGTATCCAAAGTTGTATATTAATGTAACTTAGTTATATAAGTTCTGCTTATTTCTAACGTGGAGGTCTCTGTCTTGTTTGGCCTCCTTTGTTGTATAGTGATACATTTTGGAATAATAATAAAATAGGTTGTGCCTCAAAACTTAGTGGCATGTCTAAGTAGTATGTGTGGCCATCATAGACGTGTTCGATCACTAGATTCAGGCAGATATTAAAATGTATTCCATTCGAGCTTTTGAGCCGACGCCCAAACATGTTGTCTAGGTAACGTTAGGTGACCTAACTTAACTAGGTTTTGGGAGACTGGTAGCTTGTCTGAACTTGACAGCTCTAAGGAAAAGAGCATTAATCTGGTCATACCTCTGGTTGAATGTTGTCATGGTTGCCGCTGTTGTAGTTTTCTGAGATAAGCTGGTCGAACAGTAAATTGAGCTCAGTTTTCAGAGTCGCGCTGTCAGACGGTCTCAGTGACCGGAGTTTATTAAAGCAGCGACTGATCTGATCCAGCGCCTGCGCGGAACCGTCGAGCTCATGCTGCGCCTTTGATAGAGGGACAAACCTTGATGTACCGGCTGAGGCGGACTGAACTCCTTGTGTGTTGCGACTGGAAGGAAAACTTAAGCTCGACTCAAAAAACGTTGCCTTACCGGCCATCTTTACAGGGTCAAAATAGGCGGCTTTACTATGGTAACCAGGAACTACGTCCGAGGTCAACCGGAAATGGCCGTTTTTAAATGAAAACTATTTTATTTTAGGCTTTTTTGTGGGCGGTTATTGTAAATGAATTCGTAATCATCAACCGCATTTTGAGTGGGTTGATAATACTGTATTTTTCAAACCGTGTGGCTGTTTTTCAGACTAAAATCCTCATGATAATAAAATTAAAATTGTGAGATTTTGATGACATTGGCCTGAATCACACCCCCTAATAATGTATTAAGTGTATTTAATATATGAAATGTATTTTTGTTTCGTTGCAGTTACTGTTCTTAGATAAAACAATTATATATTTAAAATAACGTATTTATCAATATATTAAATTATATATTTTTTATGCAGGTAACTAAATTATTGCGCACATAAGCATTTCGAAACAACACAGCCTGGCGGCACCTGCTGGTCGTGTTAATGCAACGAAAACTCAGCCAAACTTGTATAATGACACATTTTACAAAAAAAATAAAAAATAAATAAATAAATCCAAATCAATTGCAAATGTTTTAATGAAAGTGTAATCTATTAAATGTAATCTACAAATAGATCAATCGCATTAAATAGGGAGGTTCTGTAAAATTATTTTATTAATGCATAGTGCTTGTTTTGTGTGTTGTTAGACAGGGCTTGGGCTTCAAAATTATCCTCTTTTTTCTGTTTTATACACACTCAAGTATTAAAGGGGTGGTTGACTGTTTTTTTTTTCTAGGCTTGATTGTGTTTATGGGGTGCAGTGTAACATGTGTTAATGCTTCGTTTTTAAAAAAACACATTATTTTTCACATAATTTACCTTTATTCCACACCACTCTGCCCCTTCTCTGAGAAACGGACTGATCTTTTCCTGTTTTTATGAAGTCCCGCCCTCAGAAATAGGTGACTCTGATTGGTTAGCTAGCCCAGTGTCTTGTGATTGGCTAAACCGCCTCTAGTGCGCATCAAAACGTCCCGCCACTCACCTCAGCGGCATGTGCTCCGGTTGTATTGTAAACAATGGCGTCGTTATACCGCTTATCAGTTTGAGCCCGATTGAAAAGCAGAGGATATTGTTGAAGAGGATCGTGCAGAACCTGTGCAAGTACGGCTTTTAATGGTAGGCCTATGTTTTTTGATCCATTAGAATCATTAGAAGATAGAATCACGATTCATATATGAATAGATTTTTACATGCACCTCTAGTTTTCTCTTCTTCTTCTCTAAAGCAGCGCATTGCCTCGCCTTCTTTGCTGCCTTTTCCCGAGGGCGGGGTTTATCTGGGTTTGTTACAAATTCATTCATTCAATTAAAAAAGAAAAATAGATGGTTTCACCAGATCAACGCCATCTAGCGGCGAACCATCAGAGTTTTGAAAAGTTTCGAATCTAAGAAGCCTCTTTGCTGAATTTAACCAAAATAAGCTTCTTTGAAGTTCAAGACAACTTGGATCGTGCGTTCTACCATTTTTCAAATACATTCTTTATAAACGCGTTTTTCACTACTGTACGTTACCTTACTTGCAGTGGTTTTTCGTCCCACCGTGCGCAAATTCAACTAATCGACAATGACAATATCACCTGCCAGAGCGAAATTCACTGCTGGCCAACAACCATTTTGCACTTAAGCAGTTGTTGATTTCATACCCTGGTTTGGGGGCAAAATCGCCATTGATGTTTCTTCATGTTCTCCGTCTCTCTCCGTAGCAAAGTCTCACCTTGAAAAGCGCGGGAACAAATTTGACTGGTGCAGAATCTTGCCACTTTAGACCAGTCCAATCAACAATATCGGTCTTAGACTTTTTTAATTTTATGAGCAGTTTAAGTTTATTTAATTGTGTTGTCTTGACATGAGATTTAGTTAGCGGTTTTAGTACATGTCTGCAGAGTTGGGTAGATTATGTAATCAGATTCCGAAAAAATTAAAGGGGTCATATGAAGTTGCTAAAAAGAACATTATTTTGTGTATTTGGTGTAATGAAATGTGTGCGGGTTTAAGGTTCAAAAAACATTATTTTCCACATACTGTACATTATTGTTTCTCCTCTATGCCCCGCCTTTCGTCGATTTTTACAAAGCTCATCGGTCTGAAAAGCGAGGTGTGCTCTGATTGGCCAGCTATCCAGTGCCCTTCTTTCTCTGCGTGAACATTTGGACGGTGTTATGCAAATCTTTCCACATCGCGACGTAGACATGTGGGGGCGTGTTTAAACGAGGCGTTTTAGGAGGGCGTGGACCAGTCTTAACTTTTATAAAGAATATCTCTTTGGGTTTGAGACTTTAGTCTTTGCAACTTTAGGGATCTTATCTATTCACGCACAGCTTGTAACACTCCTAAGAGAAAGGAAAACTTGAAATCACATCATATGATACTTGTAATTAGAGTAAATTACATTTTAAAACCCTCATAATCAGATTACTTTTTTATGGATTACATGATTACATATTATTCATACAATGGCAGTAAATTGTGCATAATTTATTATTTCTTCTTAATTTTTTTTTCTTTTTTGCTTTGACTGTATTCACAAATGTTGTGTTAATATATTTGCAAACCATGCTTCTGAATTTGTGTGAAATAGCACCTCTCAAGCAATTAGACCATGTATATAACAAATAAATTACCAAACACTGGTGATAGCTGTTATGTCATCATCATATCCAGTGTGTTGATTCTGGAAGTCTGGACCAAAAAAAAAAATAATTCAAACCTGTTACACTTTTGGGCATGTAATACCATTGTTGTTTTCATGTTTATTAATGTTTGTTCATATAATGCAGGGAAACGTTTTTGTCAGCCAAACCCCTTAAAATAGATATTTAATTGAAATATCTCTGAGCAAGGTAATATTTAAATAATTTAACAACACATTCACCTGTTTACACTTCTCTGTCAGTTAATGGTCACATTAGGTAAACAAATATAATAAATTTTTAGTGTTGAAGTATTTAAATTAGTTTTGACATTTTTATGATTTAATTATTAGCTTTTTATCCACTCACAAACTCACTGTATTTCCTACATTTAAACCCAATTAGGGAAACCCTGGTGTAATGTAATGTTTAATGCATTTTATTACATGTTGATAGCAAAAGATGGAATATATTTTCTTTTTCTTTACTTTTATGCAGGGAAACGTTTTTGTCAGCCAAACCCCTTAAAATAAATATTTAATTGAAATATCTCTGAGCAAGGTAATATTTAAATAATTTAACAACACATTCACCTGTTTACACTTCTGTCAGTTAATGGTCACATTAGGTAAACAAATATAATAAATTTTTAGTGTTGAAGTATTTAAATTAGTTTTGACATTTTTATGATTTAATTATTAGCTTTTTATCCACTCACAAACTCACTGTATTTCCTACATTTAAACCCAATTAGGGAAACCCTGGTGTAATGTAATGTTTAATGCATTTTATTACATGTTGATAGCAAAAGATGGAATATATTTTCTTTTTCTTTACTTTTTTATATCAATATGGTGCATTTAATGGTAAATTTAAAACAAGTTTGATAAAAAAAGTAAACTAAAAGTAATTGTAAAAAGTAGTCAGATTACGTTACTAACTACAGTTGTCTTCACGTAATCTGTAATTAGTAACAGACTACATAAGTAATCTACCCAGCTCTGCATGTCTGTTGAGCTTTTTAAACACATATGCAAGTGTACTTCTAAAGGTTTTTCTCTGGTTTCCAAAAAAAAAAAAACCTTTAGCAGTACACTAGCATATGTATTGACTTTTAGGAGTATATATATACTCCTATATATATACATAATCAACATCTTTAAAGAAATAGTTTTATATTTCTTGTTTTTGATTGTTATATTTGGTAAGCTGCCATTCACAAGGCTTCTTGTGAAATTCCTTTCCTCACTGTACTCTTGTACCGTCATATTTTTTCTACCATTTTCATATACTTTTTTCAAATGAAAGTATGTAATGTGACTGGTTAGTTTGGTTCATGGTTTATAACTCTTTAGAAAAATACTTAAAAAATATCCCTGTGAAAACAATGAATGTCAAAAACACTTAGGGGAATGAGTGGGCGAGCGCTCTTGCACTCCATACCGCTTGCCACCACCCACTGACTGTTTCAACTGGCAATATGTCAACATAGGAAAGAAAACTGTTTGTCAAAATCTGTCACTGAGTCTTATTAAATAGTGATATTTATTTACATTTTAGTACCAAGATAAGTTCCCTCGTGAATTTTCCTGCAGGTCTTTAATTTATGAGTATGGTTTGTGTAATTTATGTTGTAGAAAAGAATTTCTCTCCTGTCTGGTTACATCACTGCATTTGAAAACATGGACAGCAGATAGCAGTCTGGCCACATTTACACACCACATCGTCTTCAACAGGCAGAGCTCCAGAAAAGACTGAACTCATCACTGAATAAAATATTTAGAGTGGGACCGTCGCTCACCCAGGAGGGCTTTTGTGTCATGACAAAGGGTTTGCGAGGGGGACCATTGACATGTTTAAATATATACACTTTCATAAAAATGGGCATAAAAGCAGCAAAGCCTTTAGTAAATGTGTGTCCTTGAAATTCAAGAGGTACTGTATCATATTAATGGCCCCTTGTTTCCAGAAAGGTCTGCTCATTAGTAATTGAAATCAGCCTGCATTCTCCCTATCTCAGCAAAAATGCACACACCAAGAGCCCTTGTCTCCTGAGATAGTGAAGTTTGTTAAATTCTTGAGCTACACTTCAGTAAGAGGCAAATGAAGAAAATTGATCATGTTACATTATAATGCAAAAAGAGGAACCATAATTTCATTTTACATCACATAACTGGGGGTAGGAACAGTCATTAAAGGGTTAGTTCACCCATAAATGAAAATTCTGTCATTAATTACTCACCCACGTGTTGTTCCCAACCCGTCAGACCTTCGTTCATCTTTGGAACACAATTTAAGATATTTTTGATGAAATCTGAGAGCTCTCTGACCCTCCCATAGACAGCAAGGTAACTACCACGTTCAAGGTTTAGAAAAGTACCAATGGTACTGTCGTGAACGCGCGTCAACAAGTGACTCAGAGACGAAAATGTGGAATAAAGTCGTTAATTTTGTTTTCTTTGCGCAAAAAAGTATTCTCGTAGCTTCGTAACTTTACAGTTGAACCACTGATGTCACACAGACTACTTTGTCGATCATCTTGGTACTTTTCTGGACCTTGAACGTGGTCGTTACCTTGCTGTCTATGGGAGTCTATGATTTCATCAAAAATATCTTAAATTGTGTTCCGAAGATGAACGAAGGTCTTATGGGTTTGGAACAACACGAGGGCGAGTAATTAATGAAAGAATTTTCATTTTTGGGTGAACTAACCCTTTAACTAGAAACGGAATGCAGACAGTCCTGTTTGGATCTACAATAAAAAAAGAAAAAAAAAAAGATTCCCTTTATACCCAAAATATGTATGACATATCATTCTTTAATATAATTTAAAGGCAGCGGTCAAAGCATTTTGTACAACATCAGTGCAAAACAAATTTGGACTTGGAAAAAACTAACAAAAATCATCTTGTTGCGTCAACTCGTGCAACTACAGAAAGCAAAAAAGTTACTGTATTGCAACATATACAAAGTAAATAATATACACGGTCCATGCATTTATGCACAGCCTCTATAGCTAAATTCACGAGTGTGTATGTGGGAGAGAATGTAAGTGTGTGTGTGTGTGTGTGTGTGTGTAGAGAGTGTGGCTCAAGCCATCAGTGCATCACAGTCCAGGTTTGGAGTTGATGTCCAACTTTCATGAACGACAGCTGTTCCCTCAGCCCGATTTGAAGAGCAGAATGGCCACTTGACCCAAGTAAAAGTAGATGAAATGCTTCGTTTCATGCGTAACATAACTGCCAAAGTTCCGTCCCACAATACAATGCCATGTCGGATTATACTTCTTATCGAACTCCTGTTGAAAAGCAAGAACAGTAATTTATACTTTACTAGGAGCAGCAGTATTCTAGAAGGCCTGGCCTGCAACAACAGTGTACAGGTCCATATTAATGTATTTACATATTTTATGATGTGTATATTGCAAATGCACTAAAATAATAATAATGTACATACTCTTCATTAAAAAGTAATGTTGCATAATACATTTGGGCAGTGGGTGCGTGGGGGGGGCATTAGTTTCAAAGTATTGAAGTGTATTACAAATTCAATGTTAATCGATTTTTGTTTTTATTTCACCAAAAAAAAAACTATTTTAAATCAAACAATAATTAAAGGAATAGTTCATCCAAAAATGAAAATTTGGTGAAAATGTACTCATTCTTGGGCCAACCAAGATGTAGATGAGCTTTTTACTTCATTGGAACAGATTTGGAAAAATGTTGCATTTGCTCACCAATGGCTCTGCAGTGAATGGGTGCCGTCAGAATGAGAGCCAAACAGCTGATAAAAACCTCACAATAATCCACACCACTCCAGATGATCCATTAACGTCATGTCAAGTGAAATGCTGCAACTTTCTAAGAAACAAATGCATCAAGGTGTTTTAATTTTAAAACGCCACTTCTGTCCAAATTACAAGTCAATAATCAATAACGCTTCCTCCAGTGGAAAAAGTTGTCCTCTCACATGACAATCCACCAACATATTTGTTTTGAACTGATTTCACTTGTTAACAGTGCTGTGTTTATTTCTCTCCTAAATCAGATGAGATGACTTTTCACTGGATAAAGCAATATTATGGATAAACTTAATGATGGGTTTATTACAAGCTTTACGCTTCACATGTCATTAATTGATGGACTGGAGTTGTGTAGATTATGGTCATGTTTTTATCAGCTGTTTAGACTCTCATTCTGACGGCACCCATTCACTGGGGAGTGGTGTAATGCTCCAAATTGGTTCCCATGAGAAAACAAACTAATGTCCATCTTGGATGGCCTGAGGGCGAGTACATTTTCAGCAAATTTTCATTTTTGGGTGAACTATTCATGCCGTCTCACTGAATCTTTCTAAGAATCAAGATAAAACAGGAAATAATGTCTTCAATAAAATACTGTTGAAGTCTGTAGAGGTGTCAATCATAAATATTGTGTGGATGGGTGACCTTTTTGATATATGCAGCAATGTCCTTCTCAATGTTGTACTTCTCCATGGCCTGCGTGGCACAATCCACTGCATCCTGCTGCATGTCCTCAGACATATCAGCGTTCTTTATTACTGCCTTCCTGTCAGTCATGATGGCTGTGAATATGAAGAAAGAGAAAAGGCAAAGGGGATTCACTGACCGTCTGGAATACAGTCACCAGAACAATGAAGAACCTTGATCATGAAGATGAATTAGCTACTTGAAGCTTTCTTGTTTAACAGTGCCACTATCACCACCAAAAAAAAAAAAACTTTTCCGAACAAGCAATCGGACAAACAGTCCCACTCCTCAATTCACACATTTATTGTTATATTTTGGGACAAGACAACCACCGTTACAATTGGTTGAGCCAATGCTGCGGTTTCGGGATGTAAAAAAAAAAATTAACCTACCAATAGCTTACTTATAGTTGATTCTGCGTATTAAGTTGTGATTAGAAAAAGTAATTAAACATCAGAAAAATTAAACCTTCACCTTAAAGGACCGCATTTCTCATTTAAAAATTAAGAAAAGGCCCCAAAAAATTTTTTTTTTTAAAAAAGGTGACATATCATGAAAATCTGACTTTTCCGGGTTTTAAGTGCTGTAATCAGGTCCCCGGTGCATCTACCAACCAAGGAAACGTGAGAAAGATTAACCCAGTAACTTTGTTTTGGTAAGCCTTTTTCTGCAAGCGTCTGAGAAAACGAGCGCGTCTGATTTCGCTCCCTTGGTGACGTGGCAAAGGGATCTCATTATAATATTACCGCCCCTTAATCTGTAAGTTTCCACCCACGGTGCCGTTATTGTGTTTTCGCAAGCGACAACGGTGTATTAGTTCTAATGCCACGGTGAAAGTTTGAGCAAAACATGCTAACTGTTCTGTCTTTACCCCCTGCTTACCCCCAGGGCATCCAAGATGTAGGTGACTTTGTTTCTTCAGTAGAACACATTTTATGATTTTTAAGTCCAACCGTTGCAGTCTATCAGTCTTATAATGCATGGCAATGGTAACAAAATCTATGAGAGTAAAAAAAACCATGCACAGACAAATCCAAATTAAACCCTGCGGCTCGTGACGGCACATTGATGTCCTAAGACACGAAACGATCGGTTTGTGCCAGAAAC